AAGAAAGAAAGAAAGAAAGAAAGAAAGAAAGAAAGAAAGAAAGAAAGAAAGAAAGGAAGAAAGGAAGGAAGGAAGGAAGGAAGGAAGGAAGGAAGGAAGGAAGGAAGGAGGGAAGGAAGGAAGGAAGGAAGGGCTATAAAAATATTTCACTGTCTAAAATTGCTAAATGACCTATCTAATATATACAAGATGAGTTGCAATTGTTCGGTAAAAATAAAGATAAGATAAAAATAACAACATCACACACGTAGAGCAAGCAGACTGAGAGAGAACAAAGACAGACATGTGGCAAGAATATTTACCAAGAAGTTATAAGGGTAAGACATATGTTTGTCTAACTGCTTTTTGTCAGTCAATGTAGATGGAAGTATGATCACAAAGTTCATTTAAAAATAAAAGAATCTGTTGTTCAAGAGAATCTCAATAATTTCTAGAAAGTAAAATCGGAAAGAAAAATTTCACAAAGGTAAACAGAGTAAACACGGCCATGCCATCAATATCATATCAAAAATATTGTGACATAAATACAGTGAGTAATGGAGAATTGAGAAAAGTCTTACTTAGCATAGGGTGGGAACACCCTGCCAAAACCAATTTAATAAAATCAATTGTCTGATGTAATTAACATGGTGTGCTCCTTGTAAACTGCTCTCAGATCAACTGGTTTAATCCAGAAGGAGATTTTATATTACTCTTATCCTGAATATATAAGATTTGATATCCTTCAGAAAATACGTAATCACCAATACTTCCTCAGTTGAGTTTTTGTTTATATTGGGTAACCATGAATTAAATATTATACTCTCTGAAAAGTACCTAGAGTAGAGCTATACTGTGTATGGCTGTTTGCTTTAATAAAGAATCAAATTGATAGCATGCAGTAGGGGGACTATAGCAGATAATAAAGTAGTATATATTTCAAAATAGCTAGAGGATTTTACCTGTCACCACAAAGAAATGATCAATGTTTAAAGTGATGGATATGGTAATTACCCTGATTTGATCATTATACAATGTATACATGTATGGAAACATCACACTGTACCCTATAAATATGTACACGTATTATATGTCAATTATAAACAAAACAAAAAGTTAAAATTCATAGTTTTTTTTTTTTTTAAAGACAGAGTCTTGCTCTGTCACCTAGGCTAGACTGCAATGGGGCTATCTCGGCTCACTGCAACCTCTGCTTCCCGGGTTCAAGCGCTTCTCCTGCCTCAGCCTCCGGAGTAGCTGGGATTGTGAGCGCCCGCCATTATGCCCAGCTAATTTTTTGTGTTTTTGTAGAAATGGGGTTTCACCATGTTGGCCAGGTTGGTCTTGAACCCTAGACCTCAAGTGATCCGTCCACCTCAGCCTTCCAAAGGGCTGGGATTACAGGCATGAGCCACCATGCCCGGCAAAATTGATAATATGTTTGACATCCCAAGAAAATGTGAAGAACTTAATAAGGTTATAAGAAGAACTGAAATATTATTTCTGTTTGTACTTTTTTTCTGGAGCTGGGGAGAGAAGGAGGCTGGAGGGAGACAGAACACATTGTTAATGGATTTCTAATGTTTCCTATATTGTACAAAATTTATGCAAGTGGTTGCGGTAGAACAGTCAGGAAATGGAAAGTATATTTATTGAATGCCTTCTAATTATTATTTTAAAATATTGATTAGGTATCTGTTTATAGGATGTCAGGTTAGGGAAAATTAACAGAAAATTTTTTACTTCTGAACACCCAAATATATGGGTGCTTGGCTGAGGTCATTTTGAATAAAAGTTCTGTTCCTAAGTCAGACGTTGCTGATTGTAGAAACATCCTATGGCAGAAGACTTAATAGAAATAACTGCATCCAATAAAAATTTACTTTTGGCCGGTTGCAGTGGCTCATGCCTGTAATCCCAGCATTTTGGGAGGCCAAGGAGGGCGAATCACCTGAGGTCGGGAGTTTGAGACCAGCCTGACCAACATAGAGAAACCCCGTCTCTACTAAAAATACAAAATTAGCCGGCGTGGTGGCACATGCCTGTAATCCCAGATACTAGGGAGGCTGAGGCAGGAGAATTGCTTGAACCTGGGAGGCAGAGGTTGTGGTGAGCCGAGATCGTGCCATTGCACTCCAGCCTGGGCAGCAAGAGTGAAACTCCATCTCAAAAAAAAAAAAAAAAATTATTTTTAGTAATTACTGCTGATCGCAACAGAACCTAACAAAACATAAAATAGGATAATCTTAAACCAAAGAAATACAATAGTATCGCTGTATCTTGACCGTGATTGATAGTTAACATGACAGAGCTTTTAGCCTCACTGGTTACCAACTGGATGATTCTGTTTCCTTTTGTTGGACGAAAAGGGGAAAGAAAGGGTCAACTTGGGAAATAATGAGACTTTGAGGTACTGGTAAGAGTAGTTATCAAAGCAAACTTACTAAGGGCACCAAGCTCATAAACCAAATTAACCAATTGTGGTTCTTGCCTTATTTAGGTGAGAAAGTACCTGAATATCAGAAAGTTTCTTGAAGAGCGTGAGATATTACTATATTAAACTAAAAACAATTTGTTATCATCATTGCGGAATCAAACACCATCTTATAGTCTATATATTCTAGATTCCACTATGAAGAAGTAGCAGATCAAATGAAATACTTTTTTAATATAAGAAAATATTTTCTATTGAAAGAATTATTTTTGTATGTTTTCTGGTACATTGGAAAAAGCTTGCCACCACCAGAGGATGTCTTGAAGAGGAAATGAAAACTGAGCAATTACCTAGAACTACAAGAAAGATTACCAGAAAATTATCTCTGTGGACTAACTAGAATGATTAAATTAGTTAGAATCACTCAGTGATTTTTTTAAAAAATGTACCCATTGGTGTTACATTGGTATTGAAACACTTATTTTCTATTATACTAGTTACATGTCTCCTCTTATCTTAGTCAATTAATGTATTGAAAGATTTATATGAAGTTCTATGTTTGAGAGTAATAACTTACTTATACCATAGTTTTCTTTAGTAGCTTTAGCAGATTATGCAAGAGACAAGTCAGTTATAATTGTAAATTTCTAGCTGGGAAAATAGACCTAAGAGACATGGCTGTTGAGAAAGGAGATGCTGGCAGATCACTGGGTTGTTTGTTTCTAAATCCAGTGGATTTTTCTATGTTTTGCTGTCATTTATATGATAATTCATTCATATACAGAGATTGAGTGAAAGGTCTCCTCCTAAAAGTATTTCTTAATAAAAAAGAAGTTTAAGCCACAGAACAGGCAGAAAAAAAAAAATGTATTCAATGTAAATAGCATTAACTTCTGTGACAATGCATTCTAATTATTCATGGTAGCTCCTGAATTACAGATTTTCCAGCCCCTGTTGGCCATAGCAATTAAATTCGCCTGTATCCCAGGAAGCAGATATCTTACAAATGAGTATAGCAACATGCTCCATATGCATTCAATTCAAGACACACTAATAATTTCAAAGGGAAAAAAACACAGCCTATACAATGTAGATATTGACACATGAAGATATGCATCTCCAATATTTTTTAAAATGTGACTTGGAATCAGTTAAATATTGTTCCTTTACATTGCAATCATTTCTGATTTATTTTCCTATTTCCAGGGTATCGATCTTTTCAGTAAGAAGGGACAGATAGTTCCCAATATTGGAAGAGTTTTGTTTCATACCTAGGGCATTTGAGAAATAGGTGCTGAGGTTAACACTCCTGGAGATAGCAACTGAAGCTAGAAGGTGGAATGAAGTAGGTAGGGTATGATGAGAGTAGGAGATGATAGACACAGGCCTTGTGCAGGGATTGTATGGGAGTAGCATTTTTGAAGGCTTTAAACCTAGTGAGAGCAAATCATATCAGCTATGACAGTCAAAAGTATTCAGTTGATTATGACAAGAGTAAAACTGTCAAAGTGATGACAAAAAAGGGGGAAACATTTTTTAAATTAAAAATCTAGCTGAGTTTGAAGTAGAGAGCAAAAATTTTTCATCTGTCTATACTCTCAGCTTTTTGTGCATGTAAAACATATTTATTATTTTCTAAATTAATTTAATGAGTTTCAGATTGTACAGGATGTCATAATGGAAACAGGATTATGCAAGATAATAAGCAGTTTTGTTCTCTAAATGAGTTGTACCTAGACTCCCTGTGTTGTACATTTGATCTGAACTGTGTTTCATTTACCACATTGGAGGAGGTTACATAAAGGGTAAAATAATAGAAACTTAATCAGGAAACAGGTTTTCTTTTAGCTGCACTTTATTATGTACTTTTGCCTTATTCCATAGCCTAATTCCTGAAAATAATAAAAGATGTGTCATTTTAAAATAAGAACAATTGAAACCACATTGCATTGTAATTATGCATCTGTTTTTCAAAGCCATCCCTAAATTTTCACACCAATTGATCTTCAGAACAAACTTGTAGATTATTTAGGAATTATTAGTGGGTAGTATAAACTTCCTGCACTCTACCTTCTGTAAAATGCTAGATAAATATTAGTTGGCAAATTTAATTTTACAGATAAAAAATAAACAGAGGCAAAATAATTTCTCTGAAATACATCCTTGTTTCCAAAAACTTAATCCAATAATTTTTTGTGTTACAGAATAATATAATACAAACTGGCCCCATTAGTCCAAGCACGGAGTTTTGCAGTGAAAATAATTTCCTGTAGAGTATTTATCATGACATATACAGACGTATAGTTATGCTATACACATGACTGATTTTGTAAATGTAATTGGTAGATAAATCTCTGGTAGATAAATCTCGTCTGTTTTATGTAACCCATACCAAAATGATTAGTCGATTTAGGTAGGCATTTGGGCTCTGAAACCTTACATCATTGACATTTCTGTCATCCTCAATCAATATGAAACAACTTGAAACTTGGCAATAACTTGTCTCCTGAATTTCCAAATAAAAACTTTGGAAAGTTGAGATTACTTCTCTAATATTTTCTCATTTCATTTTCTCATCACTGACCAGATAATCACCATGGCCACAGCCCTGAAGAGCGAATCATCTATGGTGTAGAGAATAGTAGCACATTTTTGGAATGCAGTCCGAAGTCACAGCGAGCACTGGTCTACTGGCAATTCCAGAGGCGAAATGAAGAGCGAAAAGAAGAGGTACAGGAATGAAACTGACCGGATATTTATATCTAAGATATACTGTTAAGTAACCCTTGTATTTTTTACTTGAGGAAAGAAAAAGCACTGAGAATGCTTATCCTCTTCTGAACCAATCAATCGCTCATTCATTAAACAAGTATTTGGTGCAGACTGATGATGTGACAGACTCTGTACTAGAAATTAGACAAAGAAAGGTAACCTGGTAAGAGTTTCTGTCCCAGAAGCAGTTTAGGGATACATATTAGACTCCCCTTATTTCTTACTGTGTTTATCTACAAAGAAATTGTGTTATCTAAATTTGTGCACAAATTAAAAAAAAAAAAAAACCCTCCTACTAATTTTAAATTGTGTTAAATTAATTATGTTATCAAAATCTGTTTTTCTTTATCCATTACCTTCCTCCTTAAATGGGGAAGGGAGGTTGGGAAAAGATAGTAGTAGATGTAGGATGAAGGATTTAAGGCTGCACTATAAGCTCTGACATCAACTATTGATGCAGGATGAGGCAGATTTCCCTGCTCATTTGTTCCATTTATAACTCCCTAAGAGTAAAGAATTGTATACAGAAAATCTTAGTGAGCACTATGAGCCTTTAAAACTTTTTAACAGCCTTAAATAAGTGTAAACAGACTATTAAGTTGATTAATAAAATGTATTATATTCAGACAATTTTACAAACATAATATGATGTTAAAGGTAAAAACTCCTCCATTATCTTTTGACATTTTAATCAGTCTTAAAACTATATAATCCCACCATAAAACGCAAGATTGACTTTATGCATTACCAGGTGAGGCTTTTTGAGACCTCTGTTGTAAACAGTGTTCAAAATAAAAGCAAGGTTACAAATATTCAAAAATATGGTCTCATATATATTCCCATTCAAGACCAACTAAATGAAATAAATAATTAGTAAGCATGAAATTTTCTGCTTGTTTAACTTCTATTTTTTTTAAATTTCAGTTTTGGAAATCTTATTATAAATTCATTCTAATGCCTCATATCTTTCTAGTGTCATGGTTCTGTAGTTCTAATTTCAACATTTAATGTTAACTTTATCCTATATTTACATACCTACTTTCAAATTTATAAAGTATCTTTGCTCTTTCTTCCAGTTACCTTGACTATTTTAATCATTATAATAAGAAATTCTATGGAGACAGTAATATAACCAATACTCCGCAATACATCTTAAAAACAACTGACAGATATTATAATTTTCCTACTGGAAAAATGCTATCAATTTTCTTAAATTAAAAATTTTATTAACTGTTAAACTGTGCCTCGATACATAATCTAAAGTTTTACAGACACAGAGTTTCAGAGCTTGTATTTCTTTTAAATATGTATATTTTACACTGCCTTTTTTTAACCTGCTAGATCAGAGTGGATGATCATATCATCAGGACAGATCAAGGCCTTCTGCTGCGTAGTCTACAACGGAAGGATTCAGGCAGTTACCTCTGCCATGCGGTGGAACATGGGTTCATACAAACTCTTCTTAAGGTGACCCTGGAAGTCATTGACACAGAGCATCTGGAAGAACTTCTTCATAAAGATGATGATGGAGATGGCTCTAAGACCAAAGAAATGTCCAATAGCATGACACCTAGCCAGAAGGTCTGGTACAGAGACTTCATGCAGCTCATCAACCACCCCAATCTCAACACGATGGATGAGTTCTGTGAACAAGTTTGGAAAAGGGACCGAAAACAACGTCGGCAAAGGCCAGGACATACCCAAGGCAACAGTAACAAATGGAAGCACTTACAGGAAAATAAGAAAGGTAGAAACAGGAGGACCCACGAATTTGAGAGGGCACCCAGGAGTGTCTGAGCTGCATTACCTCTAGAAACCTCAAACAAGTGAAACTTGCCTAGACAATAACTGGAAAAAAAAATGCAATATACATGAACTTTTTTCATGGCATTATGTGGATGTTTACAATGGTGGGAAATTCAACTGAGTTCCACCAATTATAAATTAAATCCATGAGTAACTTTCCTAATAGGCTTTTTTTCCTAATACCAACACCTAACAGAGAACACACGTGAATGCAGTTGTTCACTTTAGCAGACTTAATGTTTCCTATGAGATTTCACTGTACAGGTTTGTCTTTCTTCTTTGCCTGAGAAATAAAAATGTCATTTGCCATATTGCCATCTAAAGGAGAAAAACTGCATCAGCAAAGCCATTGTATTGAACTAAAAGTTTAAAATGAACTGCATGGATTTACTAAGCTGATGAATATTCCAAAACGTGGTTGGATTCAAGGATATATTTTGTCTACCGGCCCTCATGTTTGTATGTACTTGAGTAAAATGAGTAAAATGATACTGAATGAAACGTTCTGTGGAAATATTAAAAAAAAAAAAAGAAAACATAAGCCATCCATCATCCAGAAGAAAAATGGAGTACACTGATCTACTACTGATGTCTTCTTTCAGCTTTGATCTAAAGATGTATTTTATTAAAACTATAATTTAAATGTACCATGACAAATATGCAGTAAAAATTAGTTGTTTTCTAAGCTAGAGTAGGATTTGTCTTACAATTATTGTGCTATATAGTTTTTGTTTTAAAAATTCCAATGGTGTGCTGCTTTCTTTGGACATTTTATTTTCAATTCTGTAAGAGGGATAGATGATATTGTTCTAGAAACATACATCATTAAGAGTGAACCTCTAAAACCAGGATAGAAATTATGCTTTATTTCTCTGAGAAAATCAAACAAATGGAAGCTGTTCACACCTCCCCTTCTTTAAGCATTATCTAAATTAATTTTTACTTTCATAATGTTCTTAGAAAAAAAACGGAACATTTAACCAGGAAAAAAGGAAGAAATAAATTGATTTTTAAGTACATTTTACTATAATGAATCAATGAAGGGAAAAGGAACTGCATATTTCATGAAAATAATAAGCATTGTCTTAATATACTGTTAATAGAAAATGTGTCTTAATTCTGTGCTTGAATTCCTGCATGATATTTGAGACAAAGATCTCTCTTATGATTCCACTAAGAATTTTATCTGTGTCACTTAATTTTTTTGAAAGAGAGAGATCAATAACTATTCAGAGCAACATGTTAAAGGCAAAGTTTCCAACCATTTACATCTGTATCAGGTGCCTCTTATCTTTCCTTATTTAAGACAATTATTTGTACAAGAAACAGATGACTCTTTTCATGTCAATGGGAGGGAATTTTCTACAAAGTATTTTCCAGGATGCAACCCACATTTAAACAATGTAAAACTCTTTGTTTCCTGCAACAACTTACAAAATAAGGTAAAAGACTAAAATTCAAGATTTGCTTCCTTCATTGTCCTAAGACGTTTCATTGAGAATCACTGACTTTGATATACTTAAAACTTTCAGCATTATACTGTGGTTTCTTTTTGCACTGCACTCACCTATTCAGGACTCCTCCCCCAGGTTCCTCATCATGCACCAAAATGCAAAGAAAACATCTTATTAGTAATTAATGAAGCAACATTGAAATTCTAATTCTAGCTGTCTTTGGATTCTAATTAACTCAGCATCAATTTCTCACCTCAGACTACAGTGAATTTTTATTTTCTATCAGCTGAAATATTTCACAGATGGAAGCTCATGTTTCAGTTTTAATGATTGCCTTGAATAAACAAGTTGTTGCCACTTGTTTCAAACAGAAGCCTAAAAATAATCTACATTCAATTTTAGGCTCCATTGACTAATATGGTGTTGCTTTTGGAAGTACTGTATATCCTCAAATGGAAGCCGAATCGTTAAATTATTTGAAGGACACACCACTGTACAGAAAATAGTGTTTGAAATATAAATCGAAGAACAAAGAGTGCTCCAAAAAATAGGTCATTCTTTTATTTTCATAAAGTACCTTAACTGTACTAACAGTCAGTGTTGTGTTTCATTCTAAATTTTGCAGCTGAAATAAATTTATTTGCAATAGCAGAAATATCTTATTATTCATCCTCAAAAATAAAGGATTTGAAGGGATAGAGATTATATGATAACTTTATAGAAGCCTTTCAAAATCTGAATGCATTTTGTTTTGCGTTATGAAATGACAATAGAAAAAAGTCTCGACTTCAATTAAAAGTTACACAAACAAATCTACAGGCATGTCTTTATATACCATCAGGTCTAAGTTTTCAAAGAAAATTGTAGATATAACTTGCAGATAAGTAACTCATTACAGTTATAATCTCTACCCATGTGTATTGAGAGGGGGCAGTTTGCACGAAAAAGAATTATTGGCCCATTTAATAATTCAGCTTTAATAGACTTTGTCATATGCATGAATCATCAGAGATGAAACTGTTTGAGAGACTCATGTGACCTTACGAAAATTACAACAGCAGTCTTAGAGTATGAAAATGATGCATCACAGCAGAGACATTATGGCCCAGTTGATATCAAATGTAAAATGTAAATGCATGTAAATGCACACTTCATTTTATGTATTATTTCATAATTTTCAATGGTATGTGTTTAATATTTTTGCTACCTACACATCAGGCAAAAAAGATGTAAATAATTTGGGAGAAAAAGAGAAAGAACAGTGTAAAATAAAACTTTCTATAGGTACTCCATTTCAGTGTGTTCAACATCCTAAAATGCAAGATTTTCCCACGCAGGTGACAAGGTGGTTTATGTACTATATAAGGGCAGAAGGTGCGTGCCCATTCAATAAGCATGTTTTTTGCCAGGTAGGAAATATGTTCCATATCTGTATTTATCATTGCATTTCAGATGGGAACTAGAAAAACTGGAGAGAAAAAATGTAATGAAACTGCTGCTGTAAATTATTCCTTTTAGCATGTATTCCCTTGCTAAATACACATTTCTTCAAAATATTTGAATTCAGATGTCTTTACTGTTCCCTATAACATATGGTGTTAAGGAACATAAGCTCATAAAATGTTGAGAACCAGAGTCAGGTTGCTACATAATTAGCTAACAGATTTCTTCATTGTAATCATCTGTAAACTGGATTCTATATTTATGGTGAGGATGTGAATTTTTACGCCCTTTAAATTAAATATTGTTCTTTTTAATGTCATACCTAAAAAGGAAATGTAGGGATAAATTTTTATAATGTGTCATTTTCATAATCAGTTTGGTTTTATTCAGGATCTACAAAGATGTCAGATGATTGTTATTGAAATAGCTAATCTTAAAGGTCACAGACAAGCGTTTTATTAATATGCAGCCATTAGTATAATATGTTAAAATCTTTGTTTTATTAGTTCATTTTAAAACACAATTTCCATTCAATTTAATGAAACTCTATCAGGTTTCATGATTTCAAAGACAGACTTAAATAGGATTCAACATTCCCGTATTATGTAATAACATGTTAGAATTTAACTAGTCTAACACCAAAGACATCTATTACTTTTAACTTGATTTGTAATAATTATTTGAAGTCAATGTTAATGGTTACAAATATACGTTTCCATAAAAAAGAAAACAGTATTTTTCAAAAATCTGTAAAATTTTATTAGTTTGTTGGATCGCTAAAAATTTTCTTAAACTAGTTAATTAAGTGAACATAATTTTTCAGGCCGGGCGCGGTGGCTCAAGCCTGTAATCCCAGCACTTTGGGAGGCCGAGACGGGCGGATCACGAGGTCAGGAGATCGAGACCATCCTGGCTAACACAGTGAAACCCCGTCTCTACTAAAAATACAAAAACTTAGCCGGGCGAGGTGGCAGGCGCCTGTAGTCCCAGCTACTCGAGAGGCTGAGGCAGGAGAATGGCGTGAACCCGGGAGGCGGAGCTTGCAGTGAGCTGAGATCCGGCCACTGCACTCCAGCCTGGGTGACAGAGCGAGACTCCGTCTCAAAAAAAAAAAAAAAAAAAGAAAAGTTAAATGTCCCACTACTATGAGTCAAAATGGTGCATTTGCTTTTTCCTGGGTTTTGATTTATCACCCTCTGTTTGTACCCCACATTCTCATCCTTGGCACAGACTGTCATATGTCATGCATTCAGCCTCCCACACTTCCACCCCACAATCTCTTTACCTTCCTTCTTAATGTTCACCTCATTTATCTTTACTCAGTTAAAGTCATGGCACTAGGCAGTGTTCCCACAACCATCTTCAAACTAATCCTTATTTCATAATCTCTTCTCTAGTTCAAACCACCACGCATCAGCTGAAACTCTGAATTCTACAAATAAATATTTACAGGAAGCTAACTTCATGAGAGACTCCTCTGTGCTCTGACTCAGTTCAAACGAAAGTTTGTGTTATATTTCACCTACCTACAGCCTTACCTCACTTAGCTAGCATTAGACTACTCAGCAATGAGTTCCAACATTGCCTTGCTAAAAAGCAAGGGGGCTCACAAACAAGACTTCAGCAAAGATAGCATTAAAATATGAAGTTTGCATTTGTTCAAGGCATACCTTAGTTGGAGTAATCCATGGCCAAGATAGGCAGACTTCTATTATTTTAAACAAACAAACCAAAAAAGTTTTTTTTAAAAAATGAGACCCACCTTCATCTTGAATATGTCAATCCCACACCACCATTGTATTAAATGTCATGTTTTTCTCATATAACAAAAGAATGGATTTTATTTCTTTTAATCTAAACACTATACTTGTATATACAATGTTTATTTATATAGGACCTAAGCAAAAGTTTTTATAGATGTGTTCATGTCATCACAATTCAGGTAATTTGAAGTCTCAACTTCCGTCTTCTCTCTTTGTAAATCTCACTGAAGCATTAGACCTCAAGTAAATACATTTGTAAAAAATCCATGTCATTTGTGTAGCTCAGTTCTTAATGTTTTGTTTGTCTTGTTGATAACTAATTCCAGAGAAGCTTAAACATTTTCAGACAAAGTTTTCATCTAAAATCAAACAGCCACTTTAGGAATTTTTTAAATACACCACAATTTTTAGGGATTTTCATCCCTCAGAAAAGATTGACAGTTTTATTAGCCCTCAAATATTTGTATTTTACTCATGCAGTGTTTTAAATTGCTGATAAATGTGAAAAACTTAGTTTAAGTCTGGGTCTGTATATACCATTCAATGTATTCAATTTAAATTTAGATTCTGATGAATAATGGTCTAAGTATCCAATTTGCATTGTTGCCATCTATCAATTTCAGAATCATTGCTCATTTTCTTCTTTGCAGAACTTTTGACCCTAATAGCATGCCTGTTGAAATTATTTTTATTGTATTTGGCTTCAGAAGTGGTTTAAATTATTACCCAATGAATATTAGACAGCATCACAAAAATAATCTGTTATCCATATGGAAAAGAATACTGTCAAGGAGTTTATTGAATTCTTAAACTATTTACTCAAAACGTAAGAGAATACTTATCCCAGGATTATTCTATTTTGATCAAAACAATTGTGTAGTAATTAACTTTAGAAACATTACATTGTTTAGGTTTCTTCTTTAACTTTCTGACTTCTCTAAAATCCAAAACCAAAACAAACAAAAAATCAACAAGTAATCTAGATGGCAAAATCACTTATCATTAAAAAGTAGCAGGTCCTCTTCCCCTCAGTGAAGATTTGAATGTAATTTTCAACTGTGACCATACTGGTTTTCTTCTTCTAAGATCCTCTTGGTCCTTAGACGTCGTTTCTAAAAACTACATCATATCAGGAAGCTCTATATTCATTATTGAGAAGCAATATTCTTGAACTTCTAGAAGGAAATATGTATATAATGTATAAAATTTATATCAATAAGCCCAAAGCAGAAACTCTTTATAATACATTGTACTGTATTAATTTAAATGTAATAATATAATATTAAACAAAATCAACACAAGCTCAAGTATAGAAGCATTAATACATCCTAAAGTGCCACAGTTACTGTGTGGTGATAGTAACATTACATTTTTTATATTCATTGTGTTTTTAGATATTATATTCACTACCTATTTTTATATTAATTGTGTTTTTAGATATTATAATCTAAATATTTTTATGATATCATGTAGGCCTTTTCGTATGAAGTAAGACACACAGCCTAAGGATCTCGCACAACATACTGTACTTGGGTTTTCTATGGTGAGTGAGAATTAGCCTCTGACTTTGAGAAACTCACAGTCTATTGAAGAGAGGGAAACACAACATTTAACATGATGTGCCATACAAGGGATATAATAATAGTTGTAGCAGTCACATTAGTAATGATAGCAGTAATATCAAGTGTTTACAACATACTGTTTTCCTTATCAAGTGCTTTATTTGTATTACTTTAATTATTATAACAACTCAAAAAATCCTATTTTATCCTTATTTTTTCAATAAAGAAACTGAAGTACAGAATGGTTACATAACTAACTGCTCAATTCACATGATCAAAAGCAGTAGGCATAAAGTTCTAATTCAAGTATGGTTTACAATTACCTGTGTTTCCAGAAAGATAACTAGTTATTGTAAATACAATTTAAGGTGCCATGCTGTATGGAAAGAAAGAAAAAAGATGTCAAAGACTCTTAGAACATGAAGGAGAGAATAGAGAGTGAATTGACCTAGAAAGAAGGGAATATATCTTTCACTAAGATGGGAGAGACCATCAAATAGGAAATCAGCAGAGTAGTTAAACACAGGTTTTGGAGACCTGCAAACCTGGGTTGAATACCTGCTATACCCATGTACTTAGTGATGTCTTTTAGGATTGATTTATTTTTACTTCTCTGGACCTCAGTTCGCCCATGTATGAGATTTTAATATCTCAGTTCTTCCATCTATATGAGATAAATGATAGAAAACTTATTCACAGAATTGGGGTAATTGTTAACATTGACATATAATGTTTATTGCTAACACTAAAATTTACTCACTTTTCTTGATTTCCATCCTGATAATGATGAGAACATGATGTTCTTTCTCATTTCCAAATAAAATGTTTTTTATTATATCTATTACCACCTTCTGTAGATCTTTAGCCCTCTGCTTTCTGTCATTAATTTCTCTTGCTTCCCATTTTAAAGTAGTAGTTGTAAAAAATAGATATAATCTCCCTTAGTCATGTTTTTCATGTGAGCATTTTTCTACAGCTTACCTTTGCCCATAAATATTTGCAAAAGAAATTCTAAATGACTCCTAATCAAAGATAACAGATGTTTGACTTTTTATCCTCTAAAAAACCACTGCATTAAGATACCAGCACTTTTATCTTAATTTCCAACCATGTTAACTTTTAATTCCTAATTTTGGAGCTACTGTCTGCCATCATGACCTCTAAGAATGTATTTTAGAATACATTAGGCAGTTATTTTTTATGAAGTAATCACATATTTAATTCTTTTAATATATAGTTTTCAAAGTTAGCATTTTCCAGCTCAAAAAGGAGACAGTTTTCTATTGACTACTTAATAAAGTATCTTCCAGAAGACAAAATGATTATTTTTATACAGGCTCAATGAAATAAACTATATGATATTAAGTGTGTTTTCATGTATGAAAAGATTTGAGACACAGTCCAAGCAATTGCAAGTGCTGATGAAGAGCTTTCAAAAATAAAATCAAACTCAAAAAATATATATTGTTGAAAAAATTCTATTTATTGTAATAAGATATAATTCACAGGAAGAAAATGTAAGCAGAGGCATTTATTCATAGTCTCTAAAGAATGCATGAAAAGACCACTACCATAATTCACACTTAAAAAGATGATAATTTATGCAAAATCATTCCCTTTAAAAAGTAGAGATGAAAAGAGACGTGACACCTCAAAACCCTGCCAAGCTAGGGATAAACATAAGAAATAAACCATATGTGTTGTGGGAGGCAAATCCACAAAGAAACTGTTAGGCAAAAATAAAACCAAACTATGACATGATCCAGATGTTCACTAATATGAAGGTCT